GCATGTTATAATATTTTTGTCTGTTTTATTCTTCCTTTGTATTTTTTTACCCTAGTTATTTCTTCGCCCCTATTTCTTTCTGCCTGCCCTTTTTACATTTCTGCCTGCCATTATAATATAATTTCTAATTACATTTATTTGTTTATTGTATTTTTGGTGGCAATTAATTGTATGCTTATTTATTTATTGAGCATTTATTTATTTCTGTATTTATTTTTAAATATGGCAGAGTTGGTCCTCCATATACAGCTCTATCTACAGCATATTTACATGCATGAAATGTCCCTTTCATGTTGCCTTAACTGCTGTATGTCAAGTTACTGAGGAACAAATGGGGTAAATGTGTGTTCAGAGTAAACATTACATAGATGTCCAGTACCTTGTTCGGGTGCCTTGACCCATTTATTTCTACTGTGTAGTTCTGCTCACTTTATTCCAGCTCAGTCCATAGATCTCTGATGGGAAACTTTTTCTTTCTATAGTTTCTTCTTGTGCAAAAGCTGCAAAGCTGCCTCTCTGACAGTCAATCTCACACATCTGCGACTCAGCACCTGTGTCTTACCTTAATACCTTTCCTGTCATAAGGCCCCTCTAGAGGTAGTGTTATCATTCTTCTATCTCCTATTAAGTGAGATCACATTGTACGATGTATTATTAATATGAACTTTTTCACATGAAACACTAGTACTGTACATACTATTCTCACCAAACTGTGATAACTGTGATTAAATTCAGTGTAAACAAATACCATATGTTGCCACCCCTAAAAAATTCCTGCCCCCCTCTTGCCACCCCATAAATATTTTTCTAGATCCGCCCCTGGCTGTATGGGACCACTTTGCATTTAGAGTGACCTACGATGACGGCGGAAAGAAAGTTGTGGATAAAAGTGCAACAGTGTGCAAGCATGGTGCAACACATTTTGTTTATGTTAACAGCAACATGACCAACATGTCAGGCTAACAATCAACATATACCAAACCGAACCGAAAACCGTAACCATGAAACCGTGAACCGAACCATGGATTTTGTGAACCGTTCCACCCCTAATTGATACATATATGAACTTCATAACATCAGTACAAATCCTACATGCTTTTATTACTCATTTTGTAGTATGGGGTGTTAGAAAAAGATAGTTCAAATGACATTACTCAAACGGAGAACAACAGTCAAAAAAAATAGAGCACAACAGATCCATGTTTTATTAACCAATTGGTCACTTAAACTTTACACAGATTTTGGATGTAAATGTATTACATGACAAACCCCATCTCCTTTTTCTAGATAATTTAAACACAAACCTATACAACAAACCTTGCATGAATAAAAGTAACCAGATTTTTATGCAACTCAAACTCGATTACTATATAAACTTTATATACTCATTAGAATTAATTATGATTAATTATACTTTATTAATTCTAAATACATAAACCAGACATGTATTTCAATCAAGTAAACTTTATTAATTGAATTAATATGAATGATTTCAGGTTATTTTAATAGGATTGTGTGAATCGGGATTAATAAGCACTTTTAATTACAAGAAAAATCGGATTTTCGGCTTAGTCTTTCTTTTATTAGAGCATCTATCCCTTAATTCAGAGAGGAAATACATGAGACACACAAAGAGGCTGTGCTGCATGATTAGAGGATTCTGCCCCCCATCCCCTCCATGCTCTATACTTAATCAAAATTTTGATCAAAAGCTGTTTGATTTCATCAGCATTGTACTACAGTGTGTTGCAGCCTCATTACTTTGATTGGTGTCTCGATTTTTCAGGTGATTCGATTTTTATTCCAAAGCTGACTTGACCGTTAGGTTGTCTGTTAGGCATATTAATGATGATATAACCTTCATTATAAAAATAAAGAAAGAAAAGAGAACATTTCAGGTTCAAGAACTGATTTAATCGTACTGATGTTTTCATTAATATTCTATTATTCTTTGTCTTTAGCTACATTATGCTGAGTCTATTTTGAGTCTGAGTCTATTTTGCTCATAACTCATTGGATTTTAATGAAGCATTATTATATAAGCCAATCAATGGGCAGTAAATGAACAAATCCCCCCACGTTTTCCTCCACCTTTCGGGATTTTTACATAATTGTTCGATGCATTCTCCTACATGCTTTAAATAGTGATATCCATTAGAGGTTTATCCAGCAGTGGCGAGGGAGCTTCTGGGAGCTCTTGTGGGTGAGCACCTCACGTTTCCCCTTGACAGCATTTCACAACTCGGCCAGCAGCTGTGACAGGTAAAGGTCAGGGAGAGAGGAAACGTGCGATTCCAGGGAATATGTGGGATTCAACTCCCACTCATTACCGGTTCCCAGCTCTCACCGCAGAGATTTTATACCTTTCTTTTTCTCCAATTTGAATCCCATCTGCAGACAGGAGAGACACTATGTAGAGACTGAACAGGAAGTGGCTTTAAACTGTTAGTCCTTTTCACATTTTTCTTCCTACGTTTTCTTTTAGATCAGTTTCTGAGTTGATCTTTCACTTTTTTTCAACTAATTCATCAAAAGGTTTCTCTTTTCTGATGCTCTAAGCATTTGAGTCATTAAAACCCAAATATAAATAATGAAATTAAATCTTCTTTTCCAAATTGGCTCTCTGTCCTTGTCAGAAGTTGTAGAAACAGATTAATTGAAACCCTCACTGAAGTGCAGCCCTGACTTCAGTGACAGGAGCAAATGGCGGCGCTGTGGGAGGAGCTATTTTTGTTTAGCTAAACCGTAACTTTACTTTCAAAATCTCAAAGCTGACAAATTATCAACTCATTTCTGTATTTATAAGAAAACCACTTATTCTTCCAGATACAAATGTTTTGTTCTGCAGAAAAATGCTGTGGTTTCTATTTAAGTCATTTTGAGTCCATCAAAAATGAAGGAAATAAAGGCTTGCTGTGTTCATGCGTCAAAGCATGATACATGGCTTTAGCTGTTGTTGGATTTTTATTAAACAAAGAGGAGTAGGGATATGGGACATCATCGACATGATATTGGTATCGGCCAATATTATCTATAAGAACTATCAGACATTCCATAAATATAAGGCACTGTTTTTGTGACAAAAAAAAGTTGCAATTATGCCTGCAACACCAGCGGGCCCCTTGCATCCCCCTGATGAGTTCATCAGAGCAGCGATGAGCATGTCTGAAGGGTTTTTAAAGTTTCAGAAACAGATATGCCAACTGCTATTTGCAATCATTGTGCAGCGTTGCTGATATGAGGAGGACATTTGAACGTTAATTAACGACCATAAGAGCCTCTGTCCAACTTTAAAATGAATTTATGCTAACCAGGAAAAGAAAAAGAAAGCGACTGATCAAACCAGCAAAGTTATTCGTAGACCTCGGGGTGTGCATGAGCTCGTAGAGTGATGCCTGACGCTTGTGCTTTGCTCGTCACAGCGCTTTTGATCGGGGCGTAAATAGTCTTTTAGAGTGAGCGGTACACGCACCGTGTCCAGCTCAAAGGCCCATTACCAGCATTTCATGTGGCTATCTCTGACGCTATTGAGTAGTGCGTGGCTAAAAGCACTTGGGTGAGTATTACCACAGACATTTAGACTTCAAATGTGAGCCCTGTTTGCAGACTAACCTTTACAACACAATGGATAAATGGAAACTTAGTGTCTGTAAGTTGGTATTAGGGGGGAAAATCTGTATTGCTTATCAGTCATTTGAGCTGTAAAATATCAGCGCTGTTGGCTGATGCTTTTATTGACCACCGGTGGTGGAAGATCTTGGCTTTAATACCAAACTGAATAGGTTAAACCAAACAGATTTTCATTATTTGATCTTCTGATTACCGATGTGAGCTGATCAAAGCCGATTGGACATTTCACCTAAAATATTGTTTGAAATGCACCCATTCACACACACTGATAGCAGGAAGCTAGGTTGTAACAGAGGACATGATAACTGAGACAGACAGAGCTGGACTTACTCCTGCATCCTACGCCACCATTGCTCCATTACTGTTCATGTCACGGTTTTATACTAGAATTGTGTGTCTGGGTAAAAGGAGAGGAGCATGAGGTGATGTTTCTGTCATGTTTGGGGCCTACTGAAGCGGTTTGAATTTCTCATGCTCCACTAATCTGCAAAAAAACTCCCAGAAAACTGTAAAAGTGCTGAAACTTTTAAGCTGCTTTAAATCAAGATGAAAACCCTACTTGTTTAGAGTGACCTTTGTGCTATCTTAACATTGTTAGTTAATTTTGTAGTCCAGGTTTCTTTCACTTTATTGCCTTTTTTTAATTAATTATTTTAATTCTCTTTAATTACTTACATTGTTAAGAATGAGCTCTAAGCCACTGCAGTTTGTCTGTTTTTCTGTTATGTTTTTTTTATGTCGATTCCTTTAAATTGTCTAAAATGTGCATATAAATAATCTTTCCCTGCCTGTGGGGATAGTAGAGCTGTGATCTGGGGTTGCTGGTTTTGCTCAGAACTCTGTTCAATGAGGGACCAGAGAATGAGGTCAGCTGACCACCTGGATAAACTGATTGACCAGGTCAAAATATCAGGGGATTTTCCTTTGTGGTTTTAGGGGAATATTCCAAGATAGCAACACAAGAACATAAGAAAAAAAGAAGCAGTCTGACTCTCAAAAATGTTTACAAAATCTTTGAAAAGACATTGTTTATGTTGCAAAACCAGGAAGTTCTTAGTTTTGGTTTAAAGAAGAGAGTCTGAAAAAAGAAAAATCAGATCAGATGCTTTGTAGCAAACCAAAAGTAGGCTAAAAAAACATATATATATATATATATATATATATATATATATATATATATATATATATATATATATATATATATGGCGCTTATAACTGGCACTTTGTTGCAGAAAAAAACAGTTTTTTAAAATCTGACTAATTAATATTTTTTTCTGTAGTAGAAATATCTGGTATTTTAAACTGAACCTGAGCAGATTTAAATGACAGGTCAGCGTTTAAATGTATGTTTCTCTCTCTTTATCCTCCAGTACCGGATCGGGCAGCTGTACATGATCAGTAAACACAGCCATGAGCAGAGCGATAGAGGAGAAGGGGTGGAGGTGGTCCAGAACGAACCCTTTGAAGACCCAGTTCATGGCCAAGGACAGTTCACAGAGAAACGAGTCTACCTCAACAGGTCAGTGCATCGAGCTCTTAGGTTGCTCCTAATGTAGATAATTCAATGTGTTCAGGGAGTGTTTTTTTGGGGCTAAAAATAGAGTTTTAGAAAACATTCTTAGTGGAGAAAAGGGCAGGGCAGAGAAGACTGAAACTATAGCAACAGGGAAATCTCAATAATTTGCATAAAATCCCAAAGAATTTGGCATCTTTATAGATCAGATTTCACTGAAGCTGGGTCACCAAAATGCCACTTTGCCAAATGGCCTGTACTTATGTAGGGCTTTTTCAAGTCAGAGGACTTGACCAAAGTGCTTTACGCAACATTCACTCATTCACCCATTCATACACTGATGGCGGTGAGCTACATTGTAGGCACAGCTGCCCTGGGGCTCACTGAGAGAAGCGAGGCTGCCATTCACTGGCACCACCAGACCCTCTGACCACCATCAGTAGACAATGGACACTGAAAGGCAGAGCCGGGGCTTGAACCGACAACCCTCCGATTGCAGGGCAATCTCCTACATCCAACACCACTGTCGCCCCAAATGTTTGCTTAATTTACCCTTTTTTATTGTTAATCCTTTTTACCCCATCTATGATTCAGCTCCAGTTTTTGAATATTCATGTAAATCTTATTATCTGTCAGCATACTACGATGAGTGATAAGGAATTTAATGCTTGGAATAAGTAGTAACTGTGTACATTAGTTTGCAAATTGCACCGTTTAGTATATAATAAAACCAAATATGAGCTGTGGAAATATCTAAATGCATTTCCTTATAGGTTTTGATGATTTACTTAATCTGTGTCTTGGACAAACATAAGGCTTCTGCTGTCAAATAAAACATTATATGAGGATAGAAAAAAACTTTAATCCTAAACCTTTTATGATTTATTCTTCAGTGTGCAGTTTACTTTTAATTTGGGGTAATTTTACATCTTTCATATTTAAGAAGATAAATGATGAAAATAATTTTCAGCATGCATTATATTATTAAAATCAATGCATAACCAGGGGGGTGTAAAAACGGTGGGTATTTATCTCACCATTTAATATCTATTGCAGGGCACCCATTAGCCTCCTCAGACTCTCCATCAGACAGCTGATGTAACCCAGACAGTACAGATGAAACAAAGGTAACAATCAGATTGATGAAATATAAAAGAAAAGGAAAGAATAGTCAGAAATATTATTAAAGGAGAGAAAATGAAAGGATGGAGAAGACTCTGCTGGCCATTTGTCTATACACTATTTCCTGTGTCAGCATTCACTGAGCTAGGAAGCCAATTATGCTGAGTCAGCATTCCTCTGCTCTGCAGAACAGGAGAAAGTGATTAAGGAATTTCTAGCAACTTGGCCTTTTGGTACAGCAACAAGAAACAGAATATTTTGGTTGAAACATAAACAAAAAGAGAGCAAGCTCTGTCCAGAATTGTACATATGGAAAACCCTGACCCTAGTACTACAGGGTAACCATGCTAATTATACTTTTTACCTGCAGGAGTTTTCACAATATTAAGATTGAAACCATGTAGATATACTGAGGAAGAAAAATGCCATTTGTGAGACTGTAGCAACCTTTGTGTTTAAAGGTAGTGTCCTTTCCTTTAAAGAGCTGAAAACTAAAACCTGACAAGTTAATATTAATAAAGAATAGCTTTAAATTATTGATTAAATGGGACGATCAGCTGTTATGACAACCTCAAGTAAAAGCAGAACAAACTTTTAATGGAAAAAAAAAAAGGAAAAAGATTGATATATTGCAGCTGAGATGATAAATGCATGAAGCAGAAACACATTCTTAAAGAATCCATATTTTTATATTATCCTGAAACCATGCACCTGTCCTCTCCTTTTTTTTTCTTTTTGGAGTTTACTCTGATTTATTCTTTTGATAAATTGCAGTCGCTTAATAGTATGACATTTTGTCTTGCAAGATAATTTGCAAATTAAGCAAATTTTTGCTCCTAATTGGAATCCGAATCAAAAATACTTTAATAATCCCAGAGGGAAATTACTTTTGTTACACGCTCCAGTTACAGTTTTATATATATACACACATCCAACTACACAAGATAATAAAGATAAAAATAAAAAACAGATAAAATATATACACATATAGCTCTTCTATCTATCTATATATATATATATATATATATATATATATATATATATATATATATATATATATATATATATATATATATAGATCTAATAAATCTAAATCCAAGTAAAGTGAAAATCTAAGTAAAGTGATAAATCCAAGTATAGTGATACGTGGTGTGCAAAAATAGTGCATAAATGTCAATTACAGCGTCTAATACTAATCTTAGTGTTTACTTCTGCTTCTATAAAGTTTGTTAAAAACATAAAATATCTTGTCTGTAGACATCTCAGATACCTGTAATTTTATTTAAATATTATCAATTATGTGCTTTAAATGAAAATAATTTACCTCTAACTGATTGACAGAAGATTAATTGTTCACAGATTAACTGGAAAAGCTTGGATTAACTCTGGATTATCTCTGGAGAAAATAGGAAATGAAACTAAACTCACATTCTTTCTGCACTAATCAAATGCTCAACATGAAGTAACCTGAAAAAATACATTTTATTGGGAGAATTCATTTTAAAGCTCTCGTTTAAAATGAATTAGTTACTCAAATTCAGCCCTCTATCCATCTGCCTCTTTAGCCAAAATACATTAAGCTGAGATTCACCAGCAGGCAAGTCAATCTGGACTTTATCTGTCACACTTCAACACTCTTATCCTTACGTTACCCATGGCAATGTCCTTCACACAGTGCCTCACACTTAGGCATAATCTGACCAGTTCTCCGTTAATAAACTGTTATCTTTTTTTTTCTCTCTCTCAAAAATCAGCCATCTTTTATCGCCAACATGGGCTGTGTCGCTGCAGCAATTGCCCGTACTCTTTTTAAATGAACAAGGAGGGAATGGGAGCAATCAACAGATGGAGGTGTAGGAGGAGTGTCAGTCTCTTGTTGGGGGAGAGAAAGAGCAATTGTGCCTGCCAACGCTCAAAAAATATCACAGTGGAGGACTGATTTTATTCACAGCTGTCACGATGCAGCGGGAGCCATTTTTGTCCTCTTAAAGAGAAAGTTTTTTGCTGCCAAAGGAAGAGTTGGAGACAGACTCTATAGGATGCTGCGTGGTATTTTAGTTTGGGTCTTTTTCTACCCGATTTCACGTCATTTAAAGTTGATTTGAAGTAAAGTCTAACATAGAGTCCCATAAGAACTCATGTTGGCATTTTTCCTCCAATTACTCTGTCCAAAATGCACACTAAACATAGTTGAGATGTGATATGAACTAGGGATGCACGATATAATCAGCCCCCTATCGGTATCGGCCTGTATCGGCCTTAAAACTGAATATCGGACATCGGCCACCCCACCGATATTTATCCCGATATTTGATCAGCTTCTGAGTTTCTAAAGTCTAAAAAAAAAAAAATACTACTTCTTCTTCTTCCTCAAAAACTTCTTTTTTACAGACTTAAAAACTTCTAAAGACGAGTGAAAAAATATTGATACATTAAAATATCACAATATCTTCATATGCTGATATATTGCCATTTAAAAACACCATATCAATCTCTTTCACTAATGAAATATTGCTATATGTCATCGTTATGCTACGAAATCCCCCGAAAATTCATGAAATTTTGCCATATTTTTATTTGTTGATATATTGACGCGGTATCGATCTATTTTACTAACAAAATCTCACAAGAATTTGCAAAATATCACGAGAGTTTGTAACAGAACGATGAAATTTCATGAGATTTTGAAAGTAAATTAGATCGATACCGCGTTTTTAAAAATCGATTTGATATCAGCATATGAAAATATATTTGAGTTTATTATTTTTCAAAGTGTCAGAAATGGATAATAAAACTGCTATTTTCAATGACTACTTATTTTTGTCCAGCTTTAACATCGGTATCGATATCGGTTATCGGCTACATGAGTTTTAAAATATCGGCATATCCAGTGTTGTGCCTGAACGCGTTCATTGAACGAAAGTTCATGAACTCGTTCATATTTTGGGCGAACGTGAACTGAACGTACAGCATTACTGCCTGATGAACGTTATTGGGAACTCGTTCATTCTGGTGTCTGTGAACGGCACGCTCTCTCAGTTCAGCTCCGTTCAATAGGTTGCCAGATTTCTATAGAGCCCTCCAGGCGAAACCCCGGCTAAATCACACCGTAAACAGGCCTTAATATGTAGCGGGAAAAACACCCAATCTGGCAACACCAGCTACCAGCGTCGTAGCCTACAGCCGCGTGCGTCATCAAAACAAAATGCAGCGTGGAAGCTATAGCAGCATGGAGGCTACCGTGGAGGCGACAAAGCAGCAGTATGATCACTTAAAACAGTTTTATGACCAGGTGGTCGGTGAGGATGATGGCAACAAGTTTGCCCGCCGGCTTTCAGTAAAAAAATCAGCACTTCAGTAACCTTAAATTCCTACCTCAGCCTGGTCCTTCAGTTTGTGTTAGTAAAGTCTTCTTGAGCGGAGGTCTTCAACAGGGAATCCGCGACCCCTAGGGGGTCTACGGAGGTACTACATGAGGGTCTGCACGGTTAGTTGATATTTTTATATTCCCCCCCTGCAATTTTTTCCCCCACTAATTGAAATGTCTTTAAATACTCATTAACATGAAATCAACACACTGTAGTAAACAGATAAATGGAGACAAAAGATGTCTTTCAGTCATCAATGCTGACATTCAGCGACACACAGGAGCTCTTTCAAGCTGGGCACCGTTTCCTTCACAACAACCAGGAATCAGAATCAGAAAAACTTTAATAATCCCAGGGAGAAATTAATTTCTTTACATTACTCCATCTGTAATAGAGTGACTATAGGACACAATTTCATACAATATATATAGTTAGGGGGTCCCCGCTCCATCTCGCCATCAGTTTGGGGGTCCTTGGTCTGGAAAACATAGAAGACCCCTGTTCTTGAGGGTTTTACTTTCCATGTAACTTGTTTGTTAAACCTGCCTGGTATAATTTTCCAGGATTCCAGTATTCCTTTTTAGTATGTATTGAAATGGAATTTCAAATGGAAAAAAGTATTAAAAAAAAAAAAAAAAACATTTGCACCTTAAAGACTACTTTCCTATTTTTCTTTTAATAATTACTCATAAAAAAAAAACATTCAAGCAGCACATTTTTCCTGATGTTTTTGAGAATATACTGTAGGGGTGAAAGCTGCAGCTGCTACTAGTGTGAAGTGAATGGAAAGCAACAAAGCGTTAAAGCAACAATGGGGAAATCTGTCCCCTCAATGCTAATGTAAACCCTGGTTGGATAAGGATTCAAAACTGGATATGAAGATGAAATCTGACGCACAGTTTCAGAGTTACAACTGATAAAATAATTGCTGTCTGTGGTTCTACAGTAGGCTATGGTGTAATTGAGCAATATATGAAAAAAAAAAAAAGAACTATGAACTAGTTCATTTTTTGGTTTTGAATTATGAACTATGAACTGAACTAGTTCATTTTAAAATGTGTGAACTGAACTTTGAACTAGTTCACGTAGAAAGAGAACTTTCCCAACACTGGGCATATCGGATATCGGCCAAAATCCCAATATCGTGCGTCCCTAATATGAACCAAACTGGATGTTTTCGTATATTGTTTGGTATGTCATTGTTTTAATATTCAAAGAGAATACAGTTGCTATAACAAAGTAGAATATCAATGATAAAAAAAAAAAAAAATTTTAAATCAGCTTAGATTTAATTTATAAAGCTCACCAATAGGGCCGAAACAATTAATCGGATTAATCGTGATTAATCGATTATTGAAATAATCAACTTATTTAATAATTGATTAATCTTTAACTGGAGACTCTAATATATGCCTTTGGAAGACAGATCAACCCACCTTGAGCAGCAATTATACAAAAATGAAAAATATATATGCTCTATACAGAACTCAAGTGGAAAAGTTTGAGTTTCACCTGGTTTAATTTAGCAAAAACTGTACTTTACAGAACCTTTAGCTATCCCATTAATCAAAAAAAATAAACTACTACTACTACTGTGTTTTATGAAATCTTACATCTGCAGAGGTCATTTGAATTTGTTTAACACTCATATTAATGGAGCCCAAATTGGTTTGTAGAGCAAGGCAGGGATAAAGGTTAACATCTTGTCAGGTAGATGTGTAGAATAATATGATGAAAAGTTAACGTCTCTTTCTCCTCTTGCAGTAAATTACCCAGCTGGGCTCGAGCAGTGGTCCCTAAAATCTTTTATGTGACAGAAAAAGCCTGGAACTATTACCCGTACACCATAACAGGTGAGTTTGCAATGCAGATGTGCTGCGCAGGCTGTTTGGCGGCTTCACTGAAAGCCCTGCTGTGACACTCTACCTCTTCAGTCTGTGCCAGGTACAGAAACAGAATAGCTCTGCACTGCAGCCACATAACACAAAGCAGTTTTAAGGTCACCTTCTCCAACACTTTTCAGTTTGTTTTTCCTTTTTCTTTTTTGAGCCGCAGCACATTGTACTTACCACTTATCACTTTGTACAGAACGCTTTGCTGGATGTTTGTAGCACTTTGGAGTAGTGTGAAGAGACAAGAGAGGAAACGTGATCCAAACTGCTGATCTGCACGCCGCATTCCCAACACGTTTCGATAAAACCGCATGGAAACAGCTTATCTATCTAAACCCTGTTATACTGCTCATATGTTTTCTATTCGAGCCATTTCAGAGCAACTTTAAGAGGTTGAATCCCAGTGAAGCAACATCTGGGCAAAGTTGGCTCAGGTGATTTAGAGAATCCATAACTGGCTTGATGCAGGGGAGCCCAGAAAGACTGAATTTATTTCAGGAATACAATTATGAGTTTGTCTCATATATTTCAAAGATTCATGTCATCAGAAGTAAGAGGACCCAACCTTATTTAAAAATTTTTTAAATTACCACATGTTGTCCGACAACAGTGTCTAACTTAACTTCATCCACTTTTCCTGTTAACATGGTAAAGCCGTCCGGAACGTCAGGCACCAGGCTACTCGTGATACAAATGATCCAATGAGCTGCTGTCAGTCTGGGTTGCTGCTGCTGCTACTTTTAGACACAGCAGGCAAACCTGTGGCAAACCGGGCGATGGGAAAGAAGGAGAAGATGATGAGAAAAAGAGAGCAGAGAAAGTGTGGACTGCTGGAAGAACTGCGGTGAACTGCTGAAAGAAAAGTGAAAAAGTGGTGTAAAGATGAGCCTGCACATTTTGATTATGTTTGGCTCAACCTGCTGCTGTGAAGCAGGATTCTCCACCATGAACAGAATCAAAAATAAATATGAATCCAGGCTCAAAATGAGCACCTTGATATGTGCTTGAGAATGGCTTTGTCTCCATTCAAACCCAGGTTTGCAAGGCAGCCTAAAGCCCACTGCTCTCATTAAACCGGTCAGTTCAGGCGTTTCATAAAATATGTCAATCAGGAAATTGTGTATATATAGAACTGAACGATTGTTGTTCCCTCACTTAAATTTTTTTTTAATTTTAATCGATTTTTTTATGTTAAAAGTCAATGTATAACATGGATGCATAAACACCTCATTTTATTTCAGTGTTAAACTCTGTTTAAAGTAACAGATTACAATTAAAAATGTCTCTGGACTAGGGCTGGGTACCGAACTTCGGTACTTTTATGGTACCGACCGAAATGCTTCGGTTCTACAGAGTACCGAAACACGCCTCGTCTTTCGGTACCAAGTTTCGGTGATTGGCTGTAACACTTAACGTGATTGCGTCATCCAGGAAAAATACACAGGTGGTCACGCCTACAGCCAGGGTTCATGTGTATCTGTTGTGAACTGGTTGTGAGCGTCGTGGAACCCCTTTAAAATGCCCCCCAGGTCAAAAGTGCGGCTTCACTTTATTAAGACTGATGCTAATAGTGCGTAATGCAATACATCGTGCACGGAAACAATTTAAGAGCAGAAAGTTGCTCGGTGTTTGACTGCAAGAAGAGCGGACCGCAGCCGGCGCGACCATCCTCCTCTCAGCAGCCCGTGGGCAGAGCAAAGCCAGGGCGGAGTGAATAATGCGAGACACTATTGGAGAATGCTGCTTTCAAACTGGACGCAGCAGGAGCAGCAAAATCACGTCTGCTGCTTCTTTTTTGCTGCTTGTACCGGCTTCTGACGCGCGGCTGAAGAAGCTTTGCTGCTCTGGCTGCGCGGTCGAAAAGTGGCTCTGACGCGCGTTGGGCGGAGATACTCTATCCTTTATTTGCCTTGCAGCTATATTTGCTGTGATCAGTGGGAATAAAGTAGTTTCATTATGTTTTTAAGTGGGAAAATCTACCTGAAAACTTAATCAGTGCAGTCAGTTCATCCGGCCTTCCAATATTTCTGTGGGAGCCGCTCAGACCCCCAATACCAGCGGTGCGCTGTCAGTAGGATCCCATTCAACGGGCTTGTTTGTCAGACATGGTCATTTTTCTAAAGGAAAACTGCTAAGTAAAAAGGTCCTCACAATGTAACAGTGAATATTAGACACTGAATTTTTTTTTTATGTAAGAGGAAAAATGTAAATGGAAAAAACAGAGCTTAAAATAAAACTCAAGATTTGTACTTTTTTATGTTGTGTAATTTTCTTTTTTTTCTCGAATTGATATTATAAAACTGGTATCAAAAAAAGTATCGTTCAGGAACCGGTATCGAAGTGAAGGTATCGGTATTGGTACCGGAACCGAAAATTTTTGAACAATACCCAGCCCTACTCTGGACCTTTACTGGTTGATGGTTTTCTTTTTTTGGTCCCTGCTGATTTTTAATTATTTAACCTGCTCATTTGGATAATCATGACTGACAGCTGTTAAAAATCCAAATTTCTGTTTCTCAAGCAATTTGAAAAAAAGGAGGGGGAAAAAAAATAACCACTAAAAAAAAGTCCCTCCACTGTGCAGTTCCTGCAAACATTAACTCCTCATGCCATGTGTTAAGGAAGCCCAGGTTGCTTAAAATGCTGCCTGTAACTCTTCAATATTCGTCTCAACAATAACCCGTAGATTCTACATAGAAACAAAGTCAAGGTAGTTTTCTGATTGAGCCCGCTGGCTGTAAACGCGTAAACGCTGTAAACGCTGTAAACGCTGTTGCCTTGTAGTAAGAAGGTCCTGCTTTCTGAATCCTGGTTTGGGGGTTATTTGCATGAAACATATCATCAGAAACAACATTTACTAAATCCTATGGGTATATATAGGGAACTTAAAGGAGAAGTTCGGTTTTTTACACTTTAAGCCCATTTTCTGTAGTGTCCAGGATGAAATCGAATGATCGACACCAAAAGTTTGACAATTGCTCCTGTCTCTGCTTTTTGGCTCATTTAGAATCACCCCCTGGCTGCTTTAGAATGGCTTGCATAGAGCATGTCCGATAATGTCCTTAAAACAACCTTAAACGTTCTTTTTTTAAAATATGCTACTCACCGGGTCGTCAGCGCTGTTCAATGACGTTCCAAAAAAAGTTTCGTGAAGAAAAAACGTTCCTGTAGTGTTTTATTTAGCATTTTGTAAATCCCATTGAGTTCTGTTGGAATAGTCAATATTCCCCTGCCACCGGAAACGGAAATGGGGCCTGTTTACACAGTTGTAGTCTTTTCGCTTCACTCTGTGTACTCCGACGTCGAGGTGCTAACGTCTCTGTTAAACACTTTAAAAAACTCTGAAAATGGAATACGAAAGGTGGATTCTTGATTCTCGACGTCGGAGTACACAGAGTGATTCTCGACTCCGACGTCGAGAATCAAGAATCCACCTTTCGTATTCCATTTTCAGAGTTTTTTAAAGTGTTTAACAGAGACGTTAGCACCTCGACGTCGGAGTACACAGAGTGAAGCGAAAAGACTACAACTGTGTAAACAGGCCCCATTTCCGTTTCCGGTGGCAGGGGAATATTGACTATTCCAACAGAACTCAATGGGATTTACAAAATGCTAAATAAAACACTACAGGAACGGTTTTTCTTTACGAAACTTTTTTTGGAACGTCATTGAACAGCGCTGACGACCCGGTGAGTAGCATATTTAAAAAAAAGAACGTTTAAGGTTGTTTTAAGGACATTATCGGACATGCTCTATGCAAGCCATTCTAAAGCAGCCAGGGGGTGATTCTAAATGAGCCAAAAAGCAGAGACAGGAGCAATTGTCAAACTTTTGGTGTCGATCATTCGATTTCATCCTGGACACTACAGAAAATGGGCTTAAAGTGTAAAAAACCGAACTTCTCCTTTAAATATTTAATAAAATGGAATCATCATAACTTTGGTCCAAACATGTAATATTTACAATTGACTTTGACCTAATGGTCACAGTTATCTGGTCACATGATTCTCTGCTCTTTTTATTGCTGCTTTTATAGGATGCATATCATTTATGAAAAATAGCTTTTTTTAACACTGAAACACAGAGACACATACATCTGCTTTTTGACCCTGTTGCTCCCATTAACTACCATCCTGTGGATGAAGATTCTCTGTGTGAGGATACAGGCAGGCTCTAGACGTATGCCCATCAGTGGTGCAGATTCCAAAACGGGATTAGTCCAACTTTTCATGATAAACGAGGAAACTCCCTGCTTTTGACAAGTTTTTTAGTTTACACTTGCAGTAAAAAATGGATTTAAAGCTGTTAACTAACCATGTTGTGTTTTTTCTCTGCTCTGAACCTGTTGTCTGTCTGCCTCATCATGCTCTGATCTGAAGAATATACAGTAAGTATAACTGAATATTAAACTCAATCAATCCTGCACCTCATTTTTGCTAAATTTATTTTATATTTTATTTGAAAAACTGAACTGCGGTACTGTTTGAAACACCCTCAGTAATTCATGATTAAAATATTGTTGAGGCAACAATTGAGACAGAAGAAAAAAAAAAGCAGACAGAACCATCATCGCTGCTTTCTGCAGTTACTGAAAGACTTTCAGAGCACACAGGAACCCAGACACCCGGCATGTCGCCGTTTGTGGGGCCCGTCATTAACCCACAGGAAACGTGAGGCCTTGGCCAAACAAGCTCACGCACTGAAGATACATAAGCATGTTGTCAGGCTGCAGTATTTCACTGAGAGATATGCACAATATGAGTCACTCCGCTTTTTTCCTTATTCTTTCTGGAAAACAGAGAGAATATTTTGACAGCAGCAGAATGCTTGTCATTCTTTCTCTGCACGATTGTTTGGTTGTTTCTGTACCATAAAAACATTAATGGAGGTTTTTTCTTTTTTTAGTTTGCCAAATGTTTAATTTTCATGGGATTTATTTGTTTTATTAATTAATTTATTTACACTTTTAACATCTTTAAACGTTTATTCAGCAGAAAGTTCAATGTGAATTAAACATCCAGTACATCACAAAATTTTAAAATGGGGGCTGTTTGTTGGACATGTTGATTAAAGCTTGTGACATCCCAAAAAAAACAAAAGTGGTTTATTCAAAGCAGATTGAAAAACTTATTTTTTTACTTGTTAAAAAATGTTGAAAACAAATATGTACTTTTTTCTTGCTCTTTTCAATAATGTGTTGATTTATTGTAAATCCCAGTGTTAGTGTTGCCTGTCCAGGAATTATGATTAAAGTTAGCGACTCGATCCAATAAGCTGGGCTTCCTTTAATACAGGTGTAGGCAATTCCAGTTCCTGAAAGCCGGTATCCCGTTTTTTTTGCCCGAAGTCGTGCGAGAATTTTTCCGATCGGGCCGACTTTCAGCCTGATCGTGCATCCTGCGTCATGTAGTGTACAGGAAATAACGAGGGGAGCTTAGCCTCTCACGACCACATAGCGATTAGGAATCATAAGGTCGGGAGAAAATCATACATGTTTGATTTCCAGTCTTCTCTCATAAGGTGTTCGTGGACAAATCCTGCTGTTAAAGCAGAGCTATGAGCCGATTTACCAGAACCTCAAACACTGCACATGTGCAAACTTCTTCTGCTTTCATATTGATGAGCCCAAACGGCGCCATTTCTCAGCGCTGAGTCCGATGTATGGTTTTTGGACGTGCGGTGTGAGCAAGTAGATCGCATTAGAGCAGGGATGGGCAATTCCAGTTCCTGGGGGCCGGTATCCTGCAACTTTTAGATGTGCCTTGGGTTCAACGCACCTGAATCAAGTACTCAGATAATTGGGAGGTCTCTGCAGGAACCGACTGCATACTGAGGAGGTAACTCAGCCATTTGATTCAGGTGTGTTGGACCAAGGATGGATCTAAAAGTTGCAGGATACCGGCCCCCAGGAACTGGAATTGCCCATCCCTACATTAGAGCATCGGGTTGTATGGTGTGAGAACATGCATTATGAGCTGTGAATTTTTAAACCCTGCGATTTTATGGTACAGTTTGAGCTTCAGTTGCGTGCAACGATTGAAAATATTGCCCGGCTTTAGATGTGCCTTTGGTTAAACACAACGAAAGGTCATTAGAGGATTGAGATGACTGGAGGAACTGACTGCATCCTGCGGAGGTAACTAGGCTATTAGATTCTGGTGTGTTGGACCAAAGATGGATCTAAACGTTGCAGGATACCGTCCCTCAGGAACTGGTTTGCCCACCCCTGCTTTAATAGAAGCATGAAACAATAAACTAAAGCTAAATGCATTGTTTAATTAACGAGGCTCGATTCTTAATCCGGGTTTAGTGACTGACCTAGGATCTGCCTGCATGAGTGAGCTCAGACTTTCAATTGAATAACAATACATTCAAACTTGTGGGCGTAGTCTGGCATCGCATAAAGTTTGAGCGGTTTGATTAACATAGCAGGCTTATTTGAAATTAAAAGGGGAGTTAGTTAACCCAAAGGAACTGTATAACAGAGCTGTTTATTTTTCCTGTCGCCTCCCTCACAGTGCTCATTCCTGCCCAAGTTCTCCATTCACATAGAGACGAAATATGAGGACAACAAAGGAAGCAACGACAATGTAAGTACAACAGGTGTTTCCCCAGGTTACCTGCTCCCTGCTCGTATTAGTTTGTTTTTTATTTTTGCATCAACAGTTTCACATTTCAGGAACAGGCTTCCTCTCCTGTTTTCCACTGCAGATGGCCTGAAGGCTGATAGGGCCCCGATAGTCTGGATGCTGCACAGACCATATTTGTCCATTTAGGCAAATTTGTGATGCTCTGTTTGGTCTCAAATTGACATAACCCCTTCAGTCATTAGTGATGGAAATGTGCTCCATTAATCTTTCCCTAGCAGCGTTCGGCATTTTACCAACTGGGATGTACACACATCAGCTAATGCATAATGCTTTTTAAAAAACAAACATCTGCAATATGTGAGACCCCTCTTTAGTGGTTCAAGATTCCTGTCCCCATCATCGCTGCCTGATAAAAACATAGCATTATGTGTGTGCTTCATTCCACCGTGGACTCCAGCTCCGCTGCATGTAGTGTCACCCTGCGGACCCAGCGAGTTAATTAACCGTGCTCCTGTTCGATTCTTTCATCTTAATGCAGCGTTTTTGCCTGGTCTCTGGTCTCTTCATGAAAAAAAAAGGTGTAGAAGGAAATGAAATGAGGTGGCAGATAGAATAGAGGATGAAGAACCTCTGCAGTGCTGCAGGAGGGAAATTCTCCTGACTGAAGTGATGATTTACAGGCCGCCTTATTAAAACGCCCAGTACACATGAGCTTTGAGTCGGCCAGGTACTGCTCCACTTGTTGGATAGTTAATTTAATTTGGGCTGTTGGACCACTCACTCTACACACTCCGGTTCAGAGGGACATTAGTCATCAGGAGAGAGTGCCAGCGCCTGGACACTGAGGAATGAGCGGCTCCTGCGTAACAAACAAATAGCTTTAAGTGCGTTGCATTACGCCGGGTGCACAGAGGATTCATTTGAAATTCTCTCCATGAGTTATTTCAACAAGCTGGCGTTTGGGGATGGATGTATCGAGTGTCCTATTGACATGTCCAAATGGTTTACATGTCCTCTTAAAGCCGGAGGGGAGCCAAACGGGGAAGGAGCTTTAAATCTGTCGAGATGGTTTTAGATTTACGTGTTTTTGCTTTGACGTGACAGAGTGATGGATCAAAGGCTGTTGAAATGAAATTCTAAAACCAGAAGCTGCCACAGGCAATTCAGTTTGCAGATAAAAAAACGGAGAGAAGATGTGGAGATATGCGCTCGCATTGGATCCTCTGTTCAAGACGCTCTACATCTTTCTAGATGCGAAGCAGAGATGCAGAAATCCATGTTTGCATTTAGACACTCATTAATTCAGTCACACTAATAATACAGCAGCATTGCTTTGTTGATTGGGTTAGTGAAACATTTACTGTATAAACTAAAATTATTATAGTTCTGGATTCTTAAATTACCTATTTGTACCCATTTGTCTTTTATTTTGCTATTTTCCCACTTGGTTTGAGTTCTTGTTTAAAAGCAAAAACAAAAAACTGAAAGAAAATTTTGATCAAAGAAAGAACGAAGGCCAGTAGTGTTACATCTAAAGACCAAAAATGTTATTATGCATAAGAAGTGATTAGAGATGCCAAGATATTGTGATTTTAATGAAGAATATGCTTTAAACACACACAGGATTATAAAACATGGTAAAAAAAAAACAAAAAACAAAGATGTTGGTTGCTGTTTGGGTGTTTTCGGATTAGCCATTTGATTCAGGTGTCTAATAGTTACAGGAAACTATTCCTCTAGGATTGGAGTTTGAAACCTCTGGTCTAAGGAATGGTTTAAGGGTGCCAGAGGGTTTTGTTAAAGACAGCAGCAGACTGTTGTTGCCACATCTATGCTCAGATCCTCCTCTCATTCCTATGGAGCACAGCTTACCAACCTGGGTTCTTGGATCTCCGAACCTATTGGGTATTACCTCAGACAGGGACCCTGTGAGATCCACCTGGCTGGGCAAAGAGAAGTCGTTGACCTGCTAAATGTCTTCTTCCCGAAGCCGAATAATTTTTCATCAAACGGGTCAGTTGTATTAACAGCCCGAATACAACCCTACCTAATCGACTCTCCGGTTCACGACAGCCTTCTGTTCTCATACAACTGCACCTGGAAGTTGGTCAATAAATTATTTAGCAACTGAAAAGTTGCAAGGATGTTGTTTTATTAAATTTTTGGCCAAAAGAAACCTAATAAGACCTTCAGTTATTATTGTGTAACCCAACGTCAGCTCTTCTTTACACCTTCGAAGAACCCGATATAAAACAAGACTCAAATATCTAATGTCCACTGAGGGAGAGGCTTTCCAAATGTAGGTAGGGGAGCAGACAACTCATGTTACAGATGGTAGATGAAAGTCTCTGAGTCCTGAGCAAAAGGTGTGCAAAGAGGGCCTATAACTATTAGAATATCGCTGAAGCAAGCTAAATATGGATCAACACAAGGAGACCGGCCGTCACAAAAACCATCGGGGAGGAAGAACAATCACTTTAAAGCCACATTTTTACCACCAAGAGTGCAGAGAGCGAGTGGCTGCAGAGGGTTACACGCCTTTCCCTCAGCAAGGTCCAGAGAAAGGGTCAGTGACCCAGGCAGAAAGAGAGCAATAAGATCCAGCTTGGAGGAAGTACGGAAATGGTTTGTCCACAAAACGCCACTAGATAAACTTTAATTTTATCACCTGGTGTAGGGTTTGTCATCGGACCTGAAATGCCCGTTGAGTCCAGGAGGCAGCTGATGTGTACGAGTCAGTATGATAAACAGGTCTTTAAAGCAGCTGTTTGTTTTTAGTGTGTTTCTAAGGATCTGCATGTGGAAATTCCTTACATTTTTTTAGTTTATCCGACCTGATTTCAATGTGATCCATTTCTCAAAGCTAAGAAATAAAAACATTCATGTTTTTTTATTGTATGATCAACCTCATTGCTTGTGGTCAGGAAACAATAGCAACAAAATAATAAGAAAAATGTGCAATCTGGTGCTTAAAGAAGCCATTAATGTGTGAGCTATTTAACAGAGTGCAGCTTTTATTTACATTCATGTTTCCCTAAATCTCCCTTCAGCAGTTTGTTTCTTTTGTTTTTCCGCTTTCTTTGGTCTTCTCTAGAATAAATCTTTAAGCAAATTACATCTGAAAAATCTTGCTGGATTTACTCATGTGTAGATCAATTATTCTGAGCCTTTCCCTTTAATCAGTAAGATGTTTATTTACCCTTTTATGTTTATATAAACAGCCTGCAAAGTTTAATGTTTTTAATAGCATTAGTTTTGTGTATTACGAGTATACTAAGCAGTAAATATACAATTACAAATACTAATAGGAAGAAAAGTAGAAGGTTTTCAGCATTTGCAGAATCAGATGACTGAACATATGACAGTAAATGAATTCAGCGATCTATTAGGTGCAATAAGCTACTTAAAAAGTGAGCTTAGAGCGCCTCCTAATGGCTGCACAGACCATATGCTTCTGTTGGGTCGTCTTTCCAAGACTCTAAATTGATGTTGCACATTTCAATGTGACATTAAGAATTTGTAGTCTAGTCTAAATAGAAAAAAAGACGTTAAATTTAGCGTAACAAAGACCTCTGTTGATTTTCAGATCTTTGATACAGAGCTGAAGGACCAGGAGAGGGAGGTGTGCTTCGTCGACATCGCCTACGATGAAATCCCCGAGCGCTACTATAAAGAGTCTGAGGTGAGCCTGTGTAGGAGTGTGTGTAGATCCCCATGAGTATGAAGATTTTACACAATCAGTAGTGAAACCTTGTGATAAAACGCCTCTTTGTATGCACTACTGTTTCTGTTGTAAAGGTTAAATGAAAAGGTTCTTCTGTCTCTACAAGAATAGAAACCTTTTCTTAGTTTTAGGCAGATCACTGATATGATCCTCTACTTTAGATATCCACAGCAGACACCCTCAAGTCTGCTTAAGGATTCATTTTTAACCTATAATAAGTAGTTACAAATTTCTTGGGAATAATGGCAGTTAAAACCAATTATTTCTTCTTATTCCTCTGCAGGACTTGCGATATTTCCAGTCAGAAAAGACAAAGCGGGGTGTACTGCAGGAAGGCTGGAGGGACACACAGGACCCCATCATGTGCTCCTACAAACTGGTTACAGTCAAGTTTGAAGTGTGGGGTCTGCAGACACGAGTGGAGCAGTTTGTACACAAGGTAAGGGGAGAAATGATGAAATCCATCTTCTTTGCCCTGTTTGTGCCCAAACTGATGACTTAATGAAGAAAAAAAAATCACAAATTAAATAATAATAATAATAGTAATTTTTTTTGCACACGGCAACCGTCATCTGTTTTTAGTTGCGAAAGCCATGAGAGGAGGACATTTTTGTGTCAGTAGGTAACTATAGATCAGAGACCACTAACATCTCATGTGGTGTTCCCCAAGGATTAATCTTAGGGCCCCTTTTATTTAATATCTACATGTACAAGCTTCATTAAACTGGAATCTTCAAATAAAACAACATAAGTAACCATAACCTTGCAGACGACACACAGCTGTACATTAAAATGTCACAATGTGACTTAACCCATTTAAGCTCTAGGTAAATGCGCTGAATAATTCATGAATTTGACAAAATTTTCTTTAGTTAAAATAAGACAAAACTGAAGTAATGTTTTTTTACCCTAAGGAAGAGTGTTCTAAATTTAACACACAGCTTCAGTTAATCCAGCTCGAAACAAACAATCAGGCTCTAAATCTGGGGGCATTGATGGATTCAGACCTGAACCTTCAAAGCCTCATAAAGGAGGTAACAAAGTCATCCTTCTATCACCTAAAGAAAATCACAAGGATTAAAAGGACTAATGTTGCAGCAGGACCTTGAAAATCTAATTAATATATTCATCGTCAGAAGAATTGATCAGTGCACATGATCCAGAATGCTGCTGCCAGCATCCTCACTAAAACTAAGAAAGTAGAGCATATCAGCCTAGTTCTAAAGTCCTTCCTCTGGTTCTGTGTATCTCAAGAGTATAGACCTCTAAATGCTTCTGTCAGTCTATAAATCACTGAAGGGCTTTGCTGCAAAATACATAACAGACTTGTTAGTGGATCAAGTCATCTCTGCAATCCCAGAACCAAACGTGGAGAAGCAGCTGTGAAGGAAAGCTCTGTGTTTACACCTATAAGCTTTTTCTCCCCGATTCTTTCCTCAAAAGAGATCACTCAGGACAAACTCTTTAAATAACACTTCATAATGTATGCGTCTTAAATAACCATGAGACATGACAACAGATTTCTGACAGAAATTTTAATCTTTGAATCACAGTTAAAGATGCATTTTACAACTCCGTTATCACACCCTGAAACATCATCACATCATTCCATCATACACATTTATAAATGAGGAGACATCCATGGCTCCATCTATATCAAAACAACACCTTGTTCTTAGATCAAATCATTCGGAATGCCCCATGAGAGAAAGATTGATGTCAAAAGTAATCCAGTGTCTGTATGCTCTCATTTCATTCCCAAATCTCTGTTCTCTGTGAGTATGATAACTATATATCCTGGAAGACATTAGTTTAGACACGTAACAGAAAGGTTGCATTAAATTGCTTTAAATTAAGATTAAAAATGTATTGGTTTAAAGCAGTCTTTGACTGGGATCTATACACTATTAGTTTAGTTTCCAGTCCAACTTTTGTTCTGATTTTTAAAAATCGTTTTCTCTTTCTTTAAAAAAAAAATAAAAAAAAATAGTTTTAATAATTGTCTCATTTTAATGACTCACTTTCATTCTCTGTAATTATGTTGTTTTACCTCTGTGTCACTCTGTATTTTTTCTCATGTACAGCACTTTTAATTGCCTTGGAATCGTTCTCTGCTAAGTTTTATTTGGCCTGTTATTTTTTACTTTTTTTTTATTTTTTTACCTCATTTACAGAGTTTTATCTAAAGGTTTTTGTTAAAGTACACATTTCTATAACCTATGATATATTTTTCCTTCACAGCTATGTTCCAATAGAAAGAGCATATGGTAGTTTTCACAAAAATAAACTTGAAAAAGTTCTTCATTAACATTTAGCTGTTTCCTTGGATGACATTTCCTTCTATTTTTCCACCATGAGCTTTCTGACTGGAAACAGTGAAGAAAAACTATGTTGGAGGATTAAAATGTCATATTACTTTTAGTGTGAGAGGAGCGTTTGACCATCTTTGTCTTGTGTTTTAGGTGGTCAGAGACGTGCTGCTGCTCGGACACAGGCAGGCATTTGCTTGGGTTGACGAGTGGATAGGTAACATCTGCAAGCATTATGTTTTTTTTTTTTGTGTTTGATCAGTTTCCTCTAAGCTTGTTATTGTTGACGCATGGACATCCATCCCAACTGCATTTAATCTTTTTAAAAACAGCATGATCCTCTCACTACTAACCCACCAATGCCAAACACTTTCCCCACTCTTCTTATAGAAATAGTCTAATCCAATTAAATCAAATTCTGTGAAACAAAAAGTACTTGTTTTTTTATACACTTCACTTTCAGATTGTCTTTGAAAGCTTAGTATACAGGATTCCTGTTTGGTTTGGAGCTTTAAAAAAACAGAAATATGTTCAGACTGCTGGAGCCATTGACACATTAATGCTGGCTCTGTCTGCTTCCCCGGCTGCACAACAGAAACCCTTGTGTGCGCCTCTCAAGTAGCTGCAGCAGATTTACTCATTCTCAGCTGTTAAGGTTTTTCCAAAGCTGTGGCACAAACAACAAAACAATCCTGTTATATTTACGCTGAAAGCTATGCTGCCTCTCTCCATAATAACCACTAACATCAGCACTCCCTCCTCCCTGAAACCTGGATGCTTCCTAATCCTCCTAAAGTATCTTTCCCTCATGAAATGCGTTTTGTTTTTTCTTCACTGTGGAAACCTGAACCTTTCACATTTTTCTTGCCAGTGATTCAACCTCTTCTTGTTTATCCCCTAATCTTGAATCAAACCCAAATCTCCTCCATCTTTCCCTCCTCTCTGGGCTTGGACTTGTCTTTCCTGCACACTCTTTGGGTCTTTGGCAGCTCACACTTTACCCTCTACGCCTCTAACTACACCAAATCTTATAAATGCCAGCAAATGCTTCCTTTCACTTAACTGTCTGTGAGCTGGAAAGCATTGATGGAAGAGTAACAGCATTTTGACCTTCATTGCACCCCTGCCTCCCCCACCTTTTTACAGATATGACTTTTGATGACGTGCGGGATTACGAGAGAAAAATGCATGAGAAAACCAACATTAAAGTTTGCAATGAGCAGGAAGAGCTTTCAACAACAAACACATCTTCACTGGATGACATACAGATCCATGAAAAAGCAAGCGTATGTGACTTTTCTTTTGCTTTTCTCCATTTCCCCTCCTTTGTCTTCTAATTTTACAGGCTTTGATTTGCAAATGAGGTGTAAGGGCTTCATATCATGTTACAACCAGGGTTAAAAATGTGACATTTGACGGCTCTGATAGTAGTTATTAAAAAACATGATTGGTTACAGCAGATTGTGAGCATAGGAAACACATATAACTTCTTTTATTTTGAAGGAGTGGTTTGTAGGAGGTGTTTCCTATGCCGCAGAACCCAAACAGCATTTCAGTCAGGCCTGAAACACCCATTTTGGAAACGAACAGACATGCTACCAAATAGTTTAAGAAAAATAAACATTTATTAAGGCTTCCTTTTTATCCTGATTATCATGACATTTATTTTGCATATAAATGTTAACTAACATGTTATAATCACTTTGTTGTATTACAGAACAGGCCAAAGTACAAGGCAACAGGACTTTCACTCAGTTTTTCTGAGTTTGTGTACTTTATTATATTCCCAGTGGATAATAAACTTAAAGAAATTGTTGCTAAGAACAGATAAAAAAAAGAGCTAGAAAATATCTTCATGTCTATCAGTGTTATACACATGTTTTGAAAACGTAGACATGCCATTTTAGTACCTTTTTAAAGTAGAAAAAAGCCAGATTTACATAAACATGTTGAAAAGGAGAAAAGGCATTTCCATTCTCTGTCAGCTGGAGGAAAAGCCTCCGCATTAAGTTTTAAATCCCCATTGTTTTGTTAACATTCTTTTTTTTGCAAGTTGTGGTTAAATTGAAAACAAAATGTTGTTTTTCATGATTTTAGAAGATAAAATCTAATTTTTATGCCTATTCTTTTATGATTTCTGTTTTTCATTATTTTTCTCTAAATTTTCCTGATCGTCCTCTGGCACCCCCTGGTGGCTTACCCTGTAGGTTGCACCCTCCACTTTAAAAAGAACTACGGCTACTTTAACATGAAGTTTAATCAAGCTGGAACTTTTCACCCTGATGAGAAGCCTTAAAGGCAACTTTAAATAATATTTCCTGGAAATGTGGGTAGGAAACAATCATTTGTTTGTTTAAAAAATTTAGAGCTGTGGGTTTTAAAGCTTTTCTTTGTGTAATTTGAACTTATCCAGTAGCTCTTAATGCCCACAGCTCATAAATTAAAAGATTTTTTTTCTTTAGCAACTATCTGATTTCTCTCTGTCATTTTTATATGGAGTGTAACTTTAATTTTTAATTTTTAACTGTTTAAACACAAAAGCAGGTGCCGTCTTATTTTCCTCAAATGTTGTTTGTGTGAAAAATATAGGAAAATAATCTATGACCAGCGTTTAGGGTTCCATTTCTGTATGATTAATGTTGAATATTTGTAATATTTAGATTTAATAAATACCATCTACTCACCACTCTGGTTTAATTTGCACATACATTGATCCATACCGCCATTTTGATTTCTTCATGTGCTTTGCATTCTTTACCCTAGGAATTTATAAAGAAGCCGATGCACTTAACCATGGTGTATCACTTGATTTTACTAGTTAGGTTATTATGTTGAAATATGAAGGTAAATATTATACATTTAACTGAATATAACAGTAAATTATTTTCCTAAGATTTTAAAACAATATTCCATTTCAATTTATTGATGCTAATCCCTATTTAGGCCATATGACCCAAGTAAATATAGCAGATTGTATAGAATAATTTTAGCTTATTTAAATAGATCTGGATTATGATCTACTGATGGATATAATCTGTTAGGGTCATATTGACAAATCTTTAGATTACATATAGATTGTTGATCATTTGCTGTCAAAGCAGGTTTGAATCTAATAGTAGGTGTGAATTATTTCATCATCCACCGACTGACTGCATCTTTTTTTGGTTCAAAATGACCAAAACTGCAAAAGAACAACACTTCAAAAAGGCAAACAACCAGTATCTAGCGTCCCCTTCAAAAAATACCATTTATGGTTGGAGATATGTGTTTGAATGTCAACACACGAACCCAGTAGAAAGGCTAATCGATGCATTGTCTCTTATAAATCTCTTTCCAGACATGACGATGGATGAGGTGAGAGAGTTTGAGCGCTATATCCAGGAGGCCACCAACCAGAAGATTGGGGTGTTTCCCCCATCGATCTCCATAAGCGAGACGCCCCTGTCCTCCTGCGCTCTAACCGGCCCCGCCAGCGCTCCCTCAACCCCAATGTGCACGGATGCTCCAGAATCCCTGTCCGTTCCCAAAGACCGGCCTCGCAAAAAGTCTGCCCCCGAAACACTGACCCTTCCGGAGCCCCCTTCCAGCGAGGCGGCACAGAGCTCTGATCTGAACCAGTTACCCATTTCCAACCATATCCAGTCATCCACTCCGCCTTCTGACTCTGATCTCGCTGAAACATGCGAGCAGTAGAACAGAGGAATGTCTTCCCCTAACCCCTGTTTAATCCTTATCTTCTCTACCCTGTGTCTTATGAGCCCAGTGAGGCTACTCTTGCCTCCAAGCACCAGTGCCCTAACACTCGACTAATTTAGCCATATCCAACAATTCACCATAATCTTTAAACACACCAATCACTCTAGAAGTCTTCATTATTGCCATCCAGGCAGCTGTTGGCTCGCCCCCCTGATGGGGGCGGAGTGCCAGTCAAGCGAGCCAGATGTCAGATCTTTTCTAACAAACACATTTAGTGTCGATGGAAAGCGAAGGTTTTTTTTTTTTGCTCAGCGGCAGTTCTTTGTGTGAATAAATTCTTTTCATCGTGTCCAGAGTTATGTCTTCTTAAATCAAACCAGATGGCCACGAATTATTGCATTTTTGACATAGTTGCCTTGACATCACAGCCAGTGAAGATTCAGTTCTGATACTCAGTTCAAAATCATTTTATCAGTTACTAATTAGCATAAAGAGGTAAATTCTGATAAAAATTCAAACTGGAACAGCACAGTAGAAGTAGAACCTCACTGAAGAGGCCGTCTACGTATTTTATGATAGATCCACTGAAGTGTTCCTGTAGCTGGTCAGATTGTACTCATTATCTGTTTAAATGCTGAAAATGCAAAATTTGTACAATCACAAAATAAAAAAAAAAACACCTCAGGTCTCCTATAAACCCACCCGGATCTCTCTCCAGGGGCAGGATGCTGTTGTACCTAACCCACCCTGCTTTATAGCCAAACCTTCCTTTTATACCTTCAGAAATGTTATGATACTAAACATAGTACGCAGCAAAGCAGAATCTGGGAATGTTTACACATCTTAGAGCTTTTAAATGAAGCCGCATCTGCAGCTTGACGCTCACAAAGCTTAGTTAGTTCAAGTTCGTCACCCCATCCTCTATATCCTACTGAAAATTACAGTAAGAGATCAATATCAGAAGAATTACACGGATGTTTCCGGAAGCTAATGGATATCAAATGATATAACAGATCCACCTAAATGAAATAATTTTTTCACTTTTTTGGGGGGAAAATGTCATTACGGTTGAGCTTTGAGTCACAAGCGGACTCTTGTGCACAGTGCAGATGAAAAGTAGATGCTAACGTTTGGAAAGAAGGGCACATGTGTCAAGCTGACTTGAGTATGTGCTTCATAGATGCACAATGTGTGAAGTAACGTCCAGCCAGGACTGTGGAGGCAAAGCCGACGCTTTTAGGAGAATCAGAAACATCCTTTACTGTAGGCCAATATTAATGGAAGGCTGTCAACTAACTTTAAAGGAGGAACTAATACAGTAGATTTAGTCGACCAATCAGTATATTCTTCTATGGAGACCAATATTATTCAAAGAAGGGGGTTTTTATATGCTGCATGGAACGTTCACGACTTGTATACAAAACATATGATGTGTGATATACTGTATATGTACGGATTGTTACAGTATATTAGGTAATGTTAACTCTATGAAGAAAATCAACCAAATGCTTCCATTGGAAGTCTGAAGTCATTTTGTACAGCAGGAAATCAGATTTGGTCTGAAATGTAAGCATGTCCAGAGTATTTACTGTAGGCCTATGAACTGTTTGAACTCAGTGACTCTGCATGCTACAGTTTTAGCATCATCTATGTGTACTCCCCAATTTTTATGAACTCAGCTGGAGAAATTCTTAATTTCATCACAAACTTCCTGAAATAATTATTTTGCACAATGAAATCACTTTTAATCCATCATAAAAATTCAAAGCTATGATATCCGACTTGCAGCTGGAAGGAGGTTTATGTCAGCTCAATGTGGGCATGAATGTCTTTAATACTGAACTATTTATTGAAACTGCTTTTTGTGCAAAGGATCATGCAATAAAAGAACTTCAACGTCTTTCAGATATAAATTTGGACGCGCAAGCTTGCAATTAAATTTCTCTAATATAAGCATGGTCAGCGCTTTCTCTACAAGTTTTTAATGAACAGGAAATGTTTGAGTTATCACTTTTAAATTTTGGCATCCATTTATTTAAAAAAAAACTTTAATGATTACTTGATATTAAGTAAATTGGAAAATAGCATTAAATCACGCTAAGTTTGGGTACATTTTACCAACATGGTCACTGCTCTGCATCTGATGCCGATGCAAAATGTTTTAATCCATATTTCCTTAAAAGATTAGAACGTATTTATTAACCTACTCCAATGAGATGTTTCTGCAGAAACATGTCAAGACTGAAAGCTTTCTCCTTAGGTTCAGATCGATTTGGTTTTTGCCACCTGTGCAGGATCAAAACCTCTTATTCTTATCAGATTTTCTTCTTGGTCGTTTGATAGAGGTTTACTTTTCGACATTTTCCTCATTTGAGTAAAGGCGTTACTTCCTGAAGGAAACAAAAATATCTGTATGTCTACACTTTTGATAAATTCAAACTTGTGCAACTCTCATTTATAAAGTCATTGAATTCGTTTATTGCATCCTCATTTTAGCAATAGATAAAAAGGCAGTTTTATTAAATACACGCCTGAGTTTAAATCCATTCATGTCCAGCGAACTTCCCCCACAGCAGCAGAGTTATGTGCCTCCTCATCCTAGCAGTGGCAGTAAAAAAACACCACATGCAGCAGTTAAACTGTTCTGTATGTGAAACATGTTGGCTTTTACTTCTCTAGTAATTTAGGCTCTTTGCCTCATAATGTAGCCTGGTGGTCCTTTACAGTTTAAATAGAGCTTTAAGTTCTTCCGCAGCTTTTGTTTAGACTCTTTCCTAATTCCACCTCCTCCCTCATGTTTCTCCTGGTCTTCAGAGATTAACCGTTCCAATAAAAATCCCAGTACTGCCACTGCATGAAGATGCAGAGGGGTGTAACTCAGAACATATCAAAGTACACCGGGCCTTTAAATGCTGTTTTTCTTCATATAGATTCTCGGTCATCCAGGACATGACAATCCTAAGTGCTTTAGGCACCTGGACTTCCTCTGCTTGGGACATATGACAGAAACAACTAAAGACGCACTTAACTGAGCTGAAACAGAGCTGCTTGTCCTAGTTTCCCCATTAGTGACTTCATTGGCCGTATTAGTGTGATTTTACTGATTACAAATTCTAAGCATGTTTAGAGCTGAGGAACCTTTTGATGAAAGGTGAATCATCTTCAAGGGAAAAGAGGAGACTAAGTCCAGTTGCCTTCTGCTCAATCGCTAAAGGTTCAATTGCTGACATTACACAGATGCATACTGCACTTTCCAGTCTTTGACACCTCAATTGACAATGAAGGAATGTGTTTATAACTGAGCTGTACAGCACAGTCATTTTGAAGAGAAAATATTCAGTGGTCTTGCCATAAATCAACAATTTGTATAGATTCTCATTTAGATAACAAAAAACCTGTAGCTATTTATTTGTAATTGTAGCTTTTCTCATTTTCTTTAAAGGATAAAAAAAAAATAATCTACATACCAACCATTGGCTGTCTGTTTACATCTATTTTGAATATAGATGCTGACTAGTCTGGTATCAACCGCCTCTCTTGTCAGGAACACAGAGATCCAGGGACATGTTTGATCCACCATGGGCTATTAAAGTAATGCAAAGTGTATGTGGAACATTAATCTGCTCTGTTTAAAAGAGTAATCTGATAGCTATTGTAAATACAGCTGTTAATGATTAATATTGTAGATTTCTGATGTTGCGCCTGCTCTGAATTTCTTTACTGATGTGCCATGAATGTGCTGAAGGACTTAAAATGGACCAGCTAAATCTTTTAATGAGGGTTTGTGATGTTTTCACACACATGATTTAAATTGTTTCCTTTGAATCGGGTTTAATGTGTTTTATTCTATGACGTTTCTCTTAAACCTTCTGATTTTAGTTGAGTTTAATATTGTTTTTCTTTTCATTTAGATATCACGGTTCTTTGTAGTGGTGCAGTTTTTGCTTGTTGCTTCTAATGAACCCCACAGGGGTGTATCATTTTCTAAGTTGTAAAGCAAATCAATGCTTTGCATTTTAGTGGCGTGGCTGCCTTGAAGTTTACCCGCCTCCTTAATTTCGAGGTGAAATTTTATTTTTTTAGATAGTAATCTTTGCTGTTATTTGATTTAGTGATTGCTGTAAATCATTTCGTTTCTCTTCCTGATTCGGTTTGCATTCAGTTGATCGGTTTTGCTGTCTTCTGCTTTCTGGAATCTGTTTCATGAGTTCAGCTCATCTTAGTGGTGGCTGAATGTGCAGCTGCACCTTGAATGAATCCAGCTTCATGAAACGATCCCAGAGGTTCCATTCCTGTTTAGCTGCTGAAAGTTGCTTTGTTCTTCCACTCTGAATTATTGTATTGTACTTGGTAAGTTTTTACTCCCCTTTGAGGTTTATTTGGTTCTTTGTTGTAATTATTGTTTAAAGGTTTTCTTAAACGGATAAATAAAATTTATTAGCTATTGTTATTGTGTTACTGTTTATTCAGTTTTCCTTCATGCTTCACATAATTATAAAACCATCTTTTCAGTTACCATATATACAGTACATATATGTGTATATAATGTGTGTATATGTGTAAGTATGTATGTATGTGTATATGTGTGTGTATATATATATAGTACAGTCAGGAATAGAATTATTTTAACAGCCTGCTATTTTGAAGGTTCTCCCTCTTAGAAATCATGGAGGGGTCTGAAATTGTCATGGCAGGTGCATGTTCACTGTGAGAGACATAATCTAAAAAAATCTAGAAAACAAGGTAAAAATTTTTTTTTTTTTACTATTTATTCGTATGATACAGCTAAAGTTAGTATTTGAACACCTGAGAAAATCAGTGTTAATATTTGGTATAGTAGCCTTTGTTTGCAGTTACAGAGGTCAAACTTTTTAGTGTAGTTTTTCACCAGGTTTGCACACACTACAGGAGGGAGTTTGGCCCATTCCTCCACACTGATCTTCTCTAGATCGCTCAGCTTTCTGGGCTGTCACTGCGAAACATAGAATTTGAGCTCCCTCCAAAGATTCTCTATTGGGTTTAGGTCTGGAGACTGGCCTGACCACACCAGGACCTTGATCTGCTTTTTCCAGAGCCACTCCTCCTGGCTGTGTGCTTCGGCTCATCGTCATTTTGGAAGAACCAGCCTCCACCCATCTTCAATGCTCTGAGGGAAGGAGGTTGTTTCCAAAAATCTGGCAATCCCTGGCCCCGATCATCCACTCCTTAAAGGAAAATTCCGGTTTTTAACACTTTTAGCCCATTTTCTGTAGTGTCCAGGATGAAATCGAATGATCGACACCAAAATTTTGACGATTGGTCCTGTCTCTGCTATTTGGCTCATGCAGAATCACCCCCTGGCTGCTTTAGAATGGCTAGCATAGAGCATGTCCGATAATGTCCTTAAAACAACCTTAAACGTTCTTTTTTTAAAATATGCTACTCACCGGGTCGTCAGCGCTGTTTAATGACGTTCCAAAAAAAGTTTTGTGAAGAAAAACCGTTCCTGTCTTGTTTTATTTAGCATTTTGTAAATCCCAGAACTATTTTTTCCGATACATCACAACCGCTTATAAACTTCCGCTTCCCGTTCGAATCTGAGGCGTTGCACACTCCAGACCACTATTTGGCGACGGTATCCTCTACCGTCAAACTCAAAGTCCAATATGTCCTCCTCAAGAATCCACCTTTCGTATTCCATTTTCAGAGTTTTTTAAAGTGTTTAACAGAGACGTTAGCACCTCGACGTCGGAGTACACAGAGTGAAGCAGAAACACTTGGGCCTTGCGAAAAGACTACAACTAAGCGTAAACAGGCCCCGTTTCCGGTGACGGAGGGATATTGACTATTCCAACAGAACTCAATGGGATTTACAAAATGCTAAATAAAACACTACAGGAACGGTTTTTCTTCACGAAACTTTTTTTGGAACGTCATTGAACAGCGCTGACGACCCGGTGAGTAGCATATTTTAAAAAAAGAACGTTTAAGGTTGTTTTAAGGACATTATCGGACATGCACTATGGAAGCCATTCTGAAGCAGCCAGGGGGGGATTCTGCATGAGCCAAATAGCAGAGACAGGACCAATCGTCAAAATTTTGGTGTCGATCATTCGATTTCATCCTGGACACTACAGAAAATGGGCTAAAAGTGTTAAAAACTGGAATTTTCCTTTAATATAGTGCAGTCTCTCTGTCCAATGTGCAGAAAAATACACCCAGAGCACGATGCTACCACCCCCATGCTTCACAGTAGGGATGGTGTTCTTGGGAAGGTACTCATCACTCTTCTTCCTCCAAACACGGTTACTGGAATTATGACCAAAAAGTTCTGTTTTGGTCTCATCTGTCCAAATGACTTTCCCCCAAATGGTCATTGGTAAACTTAAGACGGGCCTTTACTTTGGAGATGGAGGGATATTTCACCTTTATCATTCATTCCTTTAAGGACCTAAAGACACGTCTCCTATTCACTGCAGCAGTGTTGCTGATTTAGAACATCAGTTACTGGGGCTAATGCTCATTGAATAGCAGCTCCCTCCAGACCAACATGTATAGTTGTTAGTGGAGGGCAGGAGAAGGATGACAGTAAAAGTTACAGTTGCATTGCTCTCTGGTTCACAGCGTTTCCGAATGAACACTGGCAGCTGCACAGCATCTGTCACACTCAGGGCTGACAGGGCATGAAGGCTGGCATAGAGAAGGGACCCCTGACTGAACCTGAAGTTGGCCACTGGCTGTAAGTATGTATAGTATAGTTTTTTGCGCACCCTCAAATTAGTATATATTTCCTGCAGCCACTGGAGGAACAGTATAGGCCCATAATAGTAATCTATGGCCCAAAGTCAGTGTTTTTGGGAACAAATTAGTATTTTGTGCACACACCATTAATCATTTATTCCTAATATGTCAGTTTCCAGGGTCTGTACTCCCCTCGTCCAGATTTTGTTCTGTCCTCTTATAGGCTTTTGCATCTTTTTTTGTCTGCGCATCCCTGCTCTACTCCCACCGCATTCCCCCCCAACTCTTTTTAGTTTTTCTGGTCTGTTATTCATTTCTTCAGGAGGAAATCTGGTCACTTAAACCACCACTCTAAATGGCCAAATTAGATCACCTTGATCAACACTTTGGCGAAAAAAAAGGGCTGTTGCGTGGAAGTTAAAAAAAAGTTTTTATTTATAAATTATAAGGTTAATTGATTTATCATTAATTTTGAATAAAATATATTTAAAATATTTTTAAATTACATAATGAGGGCTTTTGAAAAGCCAATATGTGCTAGTTAGTCGAGTGTCATTGAAGTCTTAGGTCATCTATCTGTTTTGAAACTACCTTAACCCATATTTTAGTTCGGGCCACTCCAACTTTGATTCACTATATTCAAAATTAATGCAATATATTTTGACTCATGATTATGTATAAACACACCTCCCTTTTAAAATACTTAACAGGTTTGTGTTCTGCTGACATAAACCGGATCTCTTTTCTTCCTCTAAAAATGTAATATTTTTTGTTAATCAACCTATTTAACAAAGCTGGCTTTAGAAATTTGGCAAATATTAAATTAATAGTTTCATATTAAATAACTTGTCAATTTAGACAAGCCCAGTTTGTGTTATTATATTGATTAATCAGTATACATCTGTTATTTTTATAAATAAAGATTTGCAGCTAACATCTACATGTTTTTTTCTGCACAGTTTAGTTGTTTTCTACAGGCTTTAGTCACATTGCAATAAGTCTGGAGTAGACCAAGGAAAATGTTTCCAGCCCCCCTGAAACCATCTTTGAAGTTAGCAGTGAGAGAGAGAGATACCTGATCCATTGACTACTTTCTAAAATTGGGGTTGTAAGAGCTGTTACTGGGGGAGTAAAACAAAATTGATCTTTGTTTTGTCCAATCAAAGGTGGACCTGTTAGTTGGCTTTGGATCGTTCCCCACTATATGATACAACTAAGCTTAAGTGTAACTTCAAATCTTTGGATTCTAGAATCATCTGGTGGAATAAGTCAGTGGAATAATTAATCCCTTCAACTGCTTCAAAGTCATGTTGTATATTTCTAAATCAGCAGACTAACACATGCAAATAACACTTGTAGATTTTTATTAGCAAACAAGTTAGAACATCTATGTGTAAAAATCATGCAGTTCCTTAATCAGAGCTATGCTTTCTTTGTATATCACATAGAATCTCCAATTTTAAGATTGGATCTAAGTGAGGAGAAAGATTTACGACTTTTTTGGTAAATTTTCCGTCTTTTTACATTGTTTTGCACATCAGCAACATTACAGGCCATAATGTGATTGGATAATGTTAGACAAAGGCAAATGAATTCTGTGAGATAAGGTCATCCTATGGTAAAGTTTCACAATAACACAAAGTAGTATAAGGGACAGAAGTATAAAGCAAACGATCACAAAAATGAGCCAGAATCCCTCCACAGGTAATGCAGATATGGAATGCAACTGGTTGCGCTCTTTGTCATAAACACAGTTCAGATTGCTTTGGAGTTTGTAGCTGACTTTACATGAATTATTTTGTTTCTGGATGTCAGTGACTGTAAAAACCTCGTATGGAGGAATTAGAACTTGACTATGTCCTTTAAGGGCAGAGTATTTTGTTACGTTTGCTCCAAAGCATGAGTAGATCTCATAACATGAACCTTTCCTATCAAAATTCCACTTATCTGAACCTAAGATAAACGTGCTAAATCGAACCTGACCAGTGGAGATGTTGGGTTCTAAAACAGTTTCTGTTCTGTATTTGGTGCTCAGACATATCACCTGATTCTGCTTTAAAATCTGAATCACCTGAGTAAGGGAGGAATAAAGGGAGACGGGTTCAAAGGTATGTCTTGGTTTTAAAGTTTTCTCTGCAGGATCGGAGTTTCCCTTGCCTTGTTTCAGTGCACTCTGTGTGAACAGGTATAAAGCCAGCGAATGGATTCTCTCCATGTACTTTTCTGCAGGCTCTTTCGGGTTTTGCTCTGATGTTTTCCAGGCTTTACTAAAATGTGCACTGCAAGAATCCCATATTTGTTCTATGACCTCATCGTTTACAACCGAAACTGTAGTTCTGCAGTCTGCTGATTCCTCACCACTGAACTTAGAGGTCAGGGCTTGAGATTTCTAAAGAGAAGATAAAAAAAAAACTTTTTTAAATGTCCACTAGAGGGCAACACACACAGACAATTGTTAAAAATAAGCAGCAGTAACATTCCAGCTCAGTAATTTCATATTTGTTTCATATTTCGTATGTGCCTACTAAAGTATGTGTTAGATGAGAAACACTGCTGCTTACCTCTCCAACAGTATCCTTCCAGCTAAGACACAGATATATGACAAAAACTACAATTAGTCCCTCTAAAAAAACTAGAGAGGCAATGACACATGCAGAGACCTTCTGTCGGCATCCTTCCTTTTTCTGGAATGGCTTCAAACATCTGGGGGAAAAAAAGGAAATGCATCATCTGACCAAGAATGAAGACAGTGCAAGTAATTTGGAACAGCACCCCCAATGCAGAAGGACACAGTCAGGATGTTGATGGGCAGCGCACTTGGAGCTTTGATATGCTCCAAATGTTGAATATTGATCTGGATAATCATTATGTCTCAAATAAAGCTAATACTTGGGTCAAAGGTTGCAAAGTGTGTCTTTAACTACGAAACGTATAATAAAAAAAAAAAATCCCAGATCTTATTTTGTTTATTCATTTATTAAAACAACTACATTTGATTTAGTTCATGTTTTTATGTTTACTAATGCTTTTTTGTTTGATTGTTTATTGTAATTAGTGTCAGTGTTTTGTTTTTATTGGCAGTCTCCAGGAATTTGCTTGTGTTAGTGTGTGGTGTTATTCAGCTTTAATCCCAATTTATACTAAAATAGTTCATCACAAAACCCTTAAGTGCTTATTGGTCAGGCTACTAATTAAGCACCCACTGTTTCTTTTTTTTCTTTTATGCAAACTGTTTAATGCCTTGCATGATTGTGATGAATACCCCAAGCTCAGTAAAGGGATTTCTATCAATTTCAAACCTTACTAAATTCTTTTGTTGCTAACTGTAATCAGAATCTGTTAGACAGACCCCCGCCAGGACCCCCCACAAATATATTTCCATATCCACTGCATCGTTACATAATCTGTAACATCCTCTGAGATTGGATAAGCTGCAAGGCCTGCTGGGTAGTCAGTCAGATAAATAAACGAAGAAAACCCACATGGACTAATCTTCCTCATAGTTTGTTCAAATGAGGTTGCTCATGTTGGTAGTTCTGTTCATGCTAAGCTAAAATTATGTTTAGCATTTATTAGTTGTTTAAGTTGACAACATGGGAAGAACGTTGCACCAGATGCAAATGGGGGAGAGTCAGGTGACTAAACCTCTTAACTAGATGCTACAATAAGATATTAGCCATATTTTTTGGAACCCCTGTTAAATCTGTGTTTAAAATAATAAAACCACTAAAAATGACTCTGGACATTTATAAGAAAATGTGAAAAGATGAATAATCAAAGATTTCCATCTGCTTGTTCAAACCTTAAGAAATAGTGAAGATAAGTTTGGTCCTTTTGACAGAAGAGCATTAAACAGGTTCTGGCAGCAGGGTAGTGAAATGGTGAAACCTGCTCCTTTTTTAAACTTATCGAATACATTCAAATTGAAAAATGTATTCTTGCACAAGTTTAGTGCAAAATCTATAATTATATACAGTAGGCTTCTTCATAAAGGCAAATGCAAGTTGCTAGCAGCCTAAAAACATTGAGTGCAGGAATAAAAACCTCTCTGTGCTGAGAAGGCAGCTTTCTACAAATCCCTTAATAATGTTTCATTGATCAGTTTTATTTAAATATGTTTGCTCTATAATAATTTCAAATGGTGATCTCATCTTAAACGCCTGCTTCTTTCTTAATGTTGGCTGTATCTGTCCTTCCAAACACCCAACCTTTGCCATTTAGTTCATCACTCTATCATCAGATATTTTTCAAACTAATGGTAAACTCTCACACTGAGTAGAATAAAAATCTAAGTGAAACTAAGTCTGATAACTTACCTCATGTTGTAAACCACATTAAGGAAACCTTCCTGTGTTTCTGTATCATCTTGCAGAATGACTCACCTTAGTTTGCATTAGCCAGTATCGGCAACTAAACTGGATTCACCTGTTTTACCACCAGGAGATCCTCCTTCTATCTGTGCTGACAGACAAAGGTGCACTGTGCTTACTTTTGCAGCACAACTACTAAGTACAACATAGTAAAATGCTAACTTAAGCAAAAAAAAAAAATCCAAATGATTCAAGATTAAAGGTCAGCCTATGATTAGTTACTAGTTTCTTATCTGTGACGCTGTGCAAACATAACATGCAAAATAGAGATTATTTTGAACAACAGTGTTTATTAAGGTGTGGGCTTGGCAGCTCTACCTGTAATGCCTGTTCTGCAGTACTTTAAGGCAGAAAAATCTGCATTTTCTCTCACAGCGCCTCTGTCTTCTTTTACCTCAGTGGGTTATCATGCCATTTGCAGTAAAAAGGTAAGCCTTTTTTAACTTGTTTGCTATAGAAACCTGTATATCTGTGGTGTGTTGCAAGATCAAAAACTCTAGCAAACCCTTGACATATTTTCATTGTTGACTCTCACAGGCTTCAGCAAGTTTATGGCAGTCAAATGCGCTAATATTAGAACATCGGCTCAACATCTTTGGTGCTTTTTAATCAGAAATGACGCTTACGAAGGGATCGGTGTGTGGGAGCAAATTCCTCAGAAAGCTGCTCCCTCTTTGTGGGCTGTTGCTGGTCATAGTCCTCTTGTATAATGATCCATTTCTGCTCCTGTGGTGGCCCCAGAGACCTGATCAGGTAAGATTCCGTTTTTAATCTGAAATGAGCAAAAGAATAACAACAATTTGCTACAGTGACCTGCAAAATTATGAAGAAAAATTTAATCCTTTCACATTTTGTCATGTTACAATTACAAACTTAATCGTATAAATGTGGGTTTTATATGCTAACACAAAGCATTGTTAAGTAGATGGAGATGGAGATTTGCACTCCTCGGCCACTGTTTCCATGCAGCGGTTGAGGGCTGCAAATGCATAATTATTAAATTTAGGGAAGACATTTTTCCACATTTTTAAAGGCAGCAAATTCAAAAGTTCAACAAGGCTATAAAACTAGATTAGAAAACAAAAAATGATGCATAAACACACAAAAAAAGGCAAAATGTAAAAATCTACAGTCGGCAAAAACAACTGTAAAAAACTTCATTACAGAAAAGGGAGAGGAACAGTAAAGTGGACACATGCTGCAAAAACAAAACCTTCTGCAAATATATAACTGATGCTAACTTGAAACCACACAAAACACACGCAAAGGGGGAAATGGTGAAAGTAGCAAAAACATCTGCAGGTTGAGATAAGCTGCAAACTAGACCACTAAGGAGGATGCGACCAAAACTCATATAGGCCCCTGGTAAAGGCATACAAAGGATAGTTAGAGGGATTGCTTAAAAAGATTCAGAGGGAGACTTACCTTTTCTTTTCTCCTACGGGTCTAGTCCAGAGACATTAATTTGTAGAAATGTATGGTCCCATATAGGTAGATGATTTTCTCCCACTAGTGGTCTAGCCTCTCAAAACCTGTTTTAAAGCATTTACAACTAATAACTCAGAATGCATAAAAATTACACAGGTAAAATGTTTTCCAATATAGACATGTTAGATATTGTTGGAAAGCTTAGATTCTCTACAATTTAGCCACCTAGTTCATTTTATGGACACAGAGAAAAACAAAGCACCATTAACACAAATATAGCAGCATGTCAAAATGTGAACATGACAAAAGAGCCACAGCAAGCAAGCATGTCAACTTTGAGTCATGTTTGAACTGCTGCAGCTTGGGCTGGGTTTTATGCACCCAATTTTCATGCATATATTCAGAAACTAGAAAATGTTAGCTTTCAAATTATTTATCACACATGTAATTTGATTTTACAGTTCCTAAGTAATTTGCTTTTCCATTTGGGTATGCAAAATAGACGAGAATTTCCCAAAATGAGGTGGATATTAAGAGGCTAGAACACTTCTATAATGCTGTGCAGATTTTCTTAACTTGCAGTTGTTTTTGCTGCTTGCAGCATTTTTTTAATGCTTGTATTTTGTATGTTAGCAGCATCTTTTTAATTTGCTGCCTTTTCTGTAGTTGCAGATTTTCTCAGCTTGCAGTCAGTTTTGCTGCTTGCAAAAGTTTTCCTTTGAATGTGTTTTGTGTGGTTATGTGTTTACTTCTTGACGAGTTTGGCAAACCATTTTAATTTGCTGTGAAATCATGTATCAGCATTGAATTTTCACCCCTCGGCCACTGCAAGTCTTTAATGGCTTTACACATCTGTTTAATTTGTGTACCCACCTTATAAAACAAAAAACTTAAATTTGATGTTTCAAACTTTTAACCACATATTCTCAATTACTTTTTAGGTTTGAATTTTACTGGGCCATTTAACACATTTGAGCTAATCCTTTCATTGTATTTCTGTATTTATATGTATATAAGTAGAATAGGTGTTCTACTGGAGGGGATCCTTTGCCCCATACTCCGTATTTTTCAACTTCCAGCAGGGCTTCTTACAGCACGGAGCTGCATTTAGCTCCATCTATATTCCCATTACCTGCCAGTTTTCTTATATTCTCATCTCTAAAGAAAAGTATGATGCAAGCAGTACGACACTACCATCACCATCTTCAGACTTGGGATCATGTTCCTCAGTAGAATTTGCATGTCAGCCATGTTTGCTGCTTGCCTTACATGGCTTGTGGCGAAAATATAACTCAGACTTTATTTTTACTTCCCTTGAACAATGACTTTCTTCTTTCCACATTTTCATAAAACTGAGTTATGTAAAAGGCTTCACTCACAGTCAACACAGTCTCAGCAGTTATTGCAGCTCCTCCACAGCCACAACTGGTCTCCTAGCCAGAGGTGTCAAAAGTATTAATGTTTATTACTCAAATAGAAATCCTACTGTTTAAAAACACTTTTGTAGAAGTTGGAGTATCAAGTTAAGTTTTTTATTGAAGTAAAAGTACCATTTTTAAAACTACTTAATAGATAAAGTTAAAAGAAATGCATGCAAAACATTTAGGACAGAAGCTTTACTGCACTAGCCTATTAAAGAAACATTTTTCTACAATTCTGGATGATAACTTCCTTATACTTCAATTTCTTAGTTCTATTACTAATGGCAACAGTGTCAAATTTAGCTTTACACCATCTGGAAAACTATTTTGGTAATTGGCAAACAAGTTGATGCAGCACTGAATCCAACTACAAAGAAATGATGCTTGGATAAAACAATTTATTTTGATAGTATCAAAATAAATATATAAACCAACAGGCCATAAAGCAAATTAACTCAAAAGAAACAAAATTAACCAGTCTATTTTTAAAATGTAAGGAGGAGTTAGTAGAGAAAATTGCAAAAATACTGTTAGTTGTCTGAAAAATAATTACTAAAGTATGCGTAACCAGTATTTCTATTTAAGTAAGGTAACAAAGTATTTGTACTTTCTTACTTGACACCTTTGCATCTAGCTTTACAGTTGTAGTTTTCTTTCTTTTGCCTGTCACATCAAATTCCAAAAAAAAAAAAAATGTTTGTGACAAAATCCCATTGCACTTTTCAAATGCAGGTAGAGAATAAACAAAAGAGTTTAAGTGATTTGACAAATTGACTAATTTTCTCAAAATATTTCACATGTTCAGCCATTTTCTGCTTCTCGTTTCAGAATGCTGCGGTTCTACCCCTGGATATGGCTCTAGATTGTGTCGACGACATGTATGATGGTTGCCATTCTAAATCCAAGACTCTCATCAACCTGTATGGCGTGTTTGAGTGGCACGTCAACGTAAACCTTAGTTATGCTTGGACTTCAGTCGAAAGATCTGCAAAGAAACCGGTGGACAAACTCCTGCAAGACGATCACGCTACATCCTTATACATATTCACAAAACTGGCCAACATCCGGCAGATGTTCAACAAAGCAGTGAGAGGTGGAAAACACAAGTACAGCACAGATCATTTTAGATTTCATTTTTTGTACTTCTACTTGACGGATGCTATTCAAGCTCTGAACCAGAACCATTCGGCGTGCAGGACTGTTTATCTAAGGACGTGGAAACGTTTTGAGCTGGACGTCGTCGACACAAACATTCGCTTTGGGACATTAATTTGGTCAGCTTCAAGCAAACAGTCATTTGAGACCAATGGCAATGTTTCCTGTTTTGAGATTCTAACATGTTTTGGTGCTGACATCACATATTACTCCAGCACAAACCAGATGGGGCAAGTACTCATTCCCACCTATGAGGTTTTTAAGGTCACAGACGTTTTGACAAATGACCCGTGGTGCAGAGTGGTCTACAAGCTTCAGAGCACCAAAACACCAAAGACGGACCAAAACTGCAAACTGGTTCAAAGGCTAACAAACTCTCCTTTGATTGGAGGATTAATAAACTGGTTTGGAGGCAACATGATGACCATGTCAGCGTGTGCAGTTCTGTTAATAATAAATTCTTTCATTCTTATACATCGCAAACAAAAGCGTTATGTGGCCGTTGTGCTGGGTTCCCTTCTTATGCTGATGATTATCATGTTTTTATTGTTTTAGTCATAGTGTTACTTATCCTAGTTAGCATTCAGCGGTTATTTGTCCCAAAGGAACGTCTTTATGCTTTTTTAATGCGTCTGCGTCATGGAAATCTTGTAATTTGAACATGCAAAGTAAAACAAAACAAGCTCACTGTAGCACATACTTTGCAAGTCAAATTTAAAAGAACCAAATTATATAGTAAGGTGTAAAATGTTAAATATAAAGTCCAAAGATGTCTTATTTATTTGCGAGGTGGCTTTTAGTTTATTGGCAGTATTGGACTTGAACTGTCTCCTAATGCACACTTAGTTTTTATTTAGTTACTTGATTACCTACCTGAAGAGGTCTTCTGCAGGAGAAGCAGGAAGTGGTATATTGAGTAAGAGCAATTTATCACTGCTCTACACATGTAACAAATTTGTATGCATAAGGCCTTTTTTGTCACTAAAATAAGTAATTTCTTGAAAGTAATCATGTACCATGTGTGTATTATCAGATAATTTATGAAATATGTTAATTCTGGGTGAAGGGTTTATGATTAATGATGAGGCCTATAATGGGTTAGCTATAAAACTCCTCTATC